CTCACCGAGGTAAGTGGACAGTAAAGGTTTTTATTATCAATAAATGAGTTTGTTATAAATTATGCTCCATTAATCTTTTTTGTTTTTTTACCAACTTTTACTCCTGTGGCAGTGAGATATTGTGATGTCTTTACTGGGGTAGTGTAGCTCATTCTTTACTTAACCATTTTAGATCAGGAGGACTTGGTTTCCGAGCCCGTCCCGCAGGAAGACGGCGAGTAGATGACTAAAGACTTCATAAATTTATTTATAGCATTCATTACTAGTATTTACTTTAGTTGGTTTATTCTTTCATACGTTTAATACGTTTCGGTTATTGTGTAAGGGATATTAATCAAAATTTTTATTTCGCTTCCGCACTTAGAACTTTTTAATACATACATTTCATTTTTATTTCTGGGACTGTCATAAATTAAATGTATAAAAGTGAACAAATTATTGGGAAAAAAAATTGTTTTTATCTATTTAAATTCTCTTATTTTTATTCAACATATTTCATTTAACACATCTCGAAATTAAACATCCAACGATCTCCTTTGGGCAGGGTATTAAATGAAAAATTTAGACATAACCGATTACACTTTGATATATGTGATTGTTAATTGAGGTACTAACCTGATTACACTTTCAAAACACAATTAATTGCTAATTATTTTTAATTTTAATTTCAGTTCCTTATGAATAACAAATAAACTAACAATTTATTGTCCAAGAAAATTGAAAGGGGAATGAAATTAAAAATGTATTCAATAATAATGAAATAAATATTTGGTAATTCTGTCATGAAAAGTAGCAAATAAATTTTTTAGTAATTAGAAACTAGATAAAATTACCAAAAATTTTATGTAATTAAAATATTAGTTATGTGCTCCACTTGCCGAAAAGGAATAGGCATAACATAAAATAGTGACAAAATATCTGGGTTACTTTATAATTGTACAAAATTACGGGGTCATTTTGTAATTATAGAAAAACTTTACGATTAAATCTTTATAATTATACACATATGTGGCTTATGAAGTAATTGATGAAATTTCTTTAGCCATGACTTATAAAAACTTCAAGTTATAGAGAGACGAGCATTGGATTCCATTCAAGAAAAGCATGGGAAGACATCTTTGACCCACATTTAGATCGTAAAAGATCTTGAAATGAGAAACGATAATAATATTTAATTGATATTGTAGATAAATAAAATACAATTACTCAAAATTCGTCTAC